CCCCCCCCCACCCCCACCCCCACCCCCAGCCATCCTCACCTCCTAGTAGTCACATCTGCGTGGTCTCTTCCCACACTGCACCAGAGTTGGTCTGTGTGATGTTAGGTCCCTTCCGAGATCAGGTGATAAGACACTGCGGTTTCCTTCTCTGTCACTTTGCCACTCTGGGTCACTGAGAGAACCAGCCACCAGGTGGTCGACCCTGGAAAGGCCCACGTGGTGCTGACATGTAGCCTCCTGCTACAGCTACGTAAGTGAGCCTGGAAGATTCTCCAGCCCCGGTCAAGCCTTCAGATGATGGAAACTCCCTAAGAGACCCGTTCACCTAAACATAAATCAGATGGTCTCAGACTCCCGACTTAGAAACTGTAAAATGTGTGGGGTTTTTTTAATGTTTATTTATTTGACAGAGAGAGAGAGAACAAGAGGGGTAGGGGAAGAGAGAGAGGGAGAATCCCAAGCAGGCTCTGTGCTAACAGCGCAGGGCCGGATACAAGGCTCCATCTCACAAATCATGACCAGAGCTCAAATAACGAGTCAGACACTTAACCGACTGAGCCACACAGGTGCCCCTAAAATGTTCTGTTTTAAGCTGCCGTTTCGAGGTGTTTGCTAGCCAACAGAAAATAAGGGACTGTTAGGCTCAGTTCATGTCTACAACACAGCTCATGTAGCAATAAACTTAAAATTTATGTTCCTCTGTAATGCTTTGGAAACTTAATGTCTCCCTCTGGGTTGCCTAAGACATCGTTTGTGGGAGTTTGTATCAAGGCTCCTATCACTCAGTTTCAAATCTGCCGTTCTCGTTAGAGGCTAGGACTCCACTGCCCAGTAGGTTTCTTGGGACCAGGTACCAGAGGGACACGGGCAGGCAGGAGGAAGGGCTTCCTGTCCCCACCTTTCCTGTCCGTGTGAACTTGGCTATGCTTCTTCACCCCGGAAGGGCCGCAGGCTTCAGTAGCGTGTTTGATTTCTAATTTTTTTAATGTTTATTTCTGAGAGTGTGTGCACCAGCAGGGTAGGGGCAAAGACAGAGGGGGTCAGAGGATCCGAAGCAGGCTCTGCACTGACAGCAGAGAGCCTGGTGCGGCGTTTAAACTCACAAACCGTGAGATCGTGACCTGAGCTGAGTTGGATGCTTGAGCCACCCAGGTGCCCGTAGTATTTGATTTTTTTTTTTTTTAACGTTTATTCAATTTTGAGAGACAGAGACAGAGCTCGAGCAGGGAAGGGGCAGAGAGAGAGGGAGACACAGAGGCTGAAGCAGGCTCCAGGCTCCGAGTTGTCAGCACAGAGCCGGATGCGGGGTTCAAACCCACAAACTGTGAGATCATGACCTGAGCCTGAGTGGGACGTTTAACCAACTGAGCCACCCAGGCACCCATGACAGTGAATTCTCTTCTGGATCTGATGAATTAGAAGTGACCACGGGACATGGGATGTCAATGAATTCTCCAGAATCTGCAAATACATTAGTGTACGTAGGAAAAAAAAAAGACTTTGCAGATGTGATTAATGAAGGATCTTGAGATGACATACTCCTGCCCAATGTAATCATGAAGGTCCTTCTAAGTGAAAGGGGGAAGCAGGAGAGTCAGAGAAGATATGAGGATAGAAAGAGGGGTCGGGGCAATGTGGCCATGAGCCGAGGAATGAGAGCAGCTTCTAGAAGCTGAGAAAGGAAGCAGATTCTCCCCTGGAGCCTCCAGAAGGAACACAGCCCTTGATTTTAGCCCAGGGAAACCCATCTGGGACTTCTAACCTCTGGAACTGTAAGATTATAAATGTGTCTTTTATATACATTGTAGTTCCTGTTCATGTGAGACAGCAGCCATGGGAAACTAGTATCTCCGGTAGAGAAATCCAGTAGGCTGCAGGCTATACCGGCCCAGTGCTTGGGACAGATGAGGGGTTTGGAGCTGGGGGCATCAGACTTTTCAGCATGTGTGTGATTATGACAGCTGAGAGCAGATGAGATCACAAAGGTCAAGGCAAGTGTGCAGGGTCAGAGGTGAAGTGAACCAGTGGTGTGAGCCCTCGGGAGTGCAGCAAAGACTCAATGAGGTGTTACCGGATAGCACCCTTCCCCCATATCTCTAGTTTGTTCACCTGGGTTGGGTGGAGAGGAAGACCACACCAGAGACGGAAGGGAAGGCAAAGCAGCTGGGTACACCAAAACTCGAGTTTAGAACTTTGTCCACAACAGGTTTGAGGACAGTCAAATATCAATCATGCTTCCAGCACTTACCACACTCGGCATTACCTGGCCGGTGAATCTTATTTCCCTAGTATATTTGTTTCTCCCTATTCTACACCCCTCTCTCTCTCTCTCTCCAAATTCCCTACACCCCTCACCTTCCCTCTCCGACTCTCCGATGACCATCTTGCCTCTTAATCATTGAGAAAATCAAAGCAAAGCAGGAGGGAATATTCCTTCCTCCAGCCCCCAAATTTCTAACCTGCCTTCATTTGTCTTCTGTATCTTCACCACTGTGCACCTGCACCTGCCTTATATGCCGTCACCATGGTTGAGGCATCCTTCCTACTAAAGGCCAACCCTGTACCACTCGTGCACTAGATGTCTTCCTCTTCTTACCTGGCCCTCAGAAATCCCCCCCCCCATCTCCTACATCATCAATTTCTCTCTCTTTACAAACAACTATACCTTGGTATCGCTCATCTTAAAAATGTCCTCCATTGGCCACATAGTCCTATCCCACTATTGTCCCCAGTTGCCTGTGGGTCTCCATGTCCTCACCTCACATTCACTCCTCAAACATTCCGGATGTTCTTTGGATCCCACTCTTCCCAAGACTGCTCATGTCAAGATTACTAGTAACCTCCAATTTGATACAATCTAATAGTCTTGTGGCTCCTGAGTTGCATGTTCTCGTGTCTCTGCAGTTCCTTTTCCTTCCCAACTTGACCTCTAAATGAAGGATCCTAGAACTTAGCCTTTGGCCCCTTCCTGTGTTTTTAGCTACACATTTTCCTAGGTCATCCAATCAGTCCCAAGGCTTAACAGTCTATTTATAATGGCTGCGTCTCCAGTTTATGCCAATGCCTATTTGATATCATGGATGTCTAAAAGGCATTTCTAACTTAACACGACCAAACCACAATTCTTGATTTCCCTCCTCCCAACCGTTCTTCCCAAGTTTCACATCTTACAAATGCCACCACCACCTACACAATCCCCTAAGTGAAAAATCTAGAAACTGCCCTTGAATGCTTTCTCCCTAACAAACGCAACTCATTAGCAAGCCCCACGAGACTCCATTTTCAAACTATTGCAGATAGAATGTTCTCAGTGTTCCCCACTACTCCCAATGCCCAAGCCACCTTTTGGTATGCACTGTGGAACAGCTTCCTAATTGGTTGAATGTTAGCTTTGCTGCTCCCCCTTGATGCGGTTTTTGTCCGGATGGATAGCCGTCCTTCAGATCTCAGTCTAAACCAGACCTTGTCACCAAGACGTTCCAGATGCAGCCACCCTAAGATTACTGTCAATCACTTCATCCCATTTTGATTCTCTGCAAGGCACATACATATTTATTCTTCCTCCTCTTATTACGGTATTCCCCAGGGCTCACAACACTGCCTGGCATACGGCAGGTACACAAAGATTTGTTGAATAAATGCAAAAGCAGCTACTGTGTCCTAACGTTATGCTAATCTGTGAATGCTGTACTCTCTTCCCATTGTCAGTAAGACAGTTTCATAAAACGTAAGATTTCATACTGAGCACTAGCTGGACGCGTGTTATGCGCCCCCCCCCCCCCCCCCCAGCAACCTGCCTTCCTCTATTTCCGCACCTTCTCCACGTGCAAAAAAATAAGCAAGGAAGGAGGGTTTGGAAAACAGGGTCATCGCTACGGTCTTTTGCCACACTCCGCTGGCTTCAACGTGCTCAACGCGACGGAAACTAACAGCAGTGGCCCCGACCAAGAAGGGTTGAAGGTAGAGGACTTCACCTGCCGCCAAGGGCGGACCGCAGAGGACCGGCGCAGATCCCCAGCACTGCACGCTGGGAGCTGTAGTCTCCGGGGGAGGCCTGTGTGGTAGGAGCGGGATGCCCCGCTGCATGCTGGGAGTTAGAGTCGACGGCTGGAAACCGTACTTGTGAGATTCGGCCTCTGCGCTGGGAGCGGCGAGCGGCGGAGTCCTCGCTGCATGCCGGGAACTGTAGTCTTTCTGGGACCCCTCTCTGCTTCAGCGTGGAGAGGCGCCATCTTAGGTCCCGAGGTGCGGCCGCGCCGAGCCAGAGCGCAGGCGGGCTCAGCCCCCGCGCCGGGCCGGCCCCGCCCCCGGGGCGCCTGGCGCCCGCCCCCCGCTCAGGCCCCGCCTTTCCCCACGTGTCCGCCGCCGAGGGGAGGCGCCTGAGCCGGAGCGGGCCCGCCAGAGGTCCGGCCCCGTCGGCGCTGAGGGTCCTGTCGGCGGCGCCCGGGAGCGGCCCGGCTCCCCGATGCTCCCGCGCCGGCTGCCGCGGGCCGGGCTGTGCGCTTAGTGCCCGGCTCTGGCCCCCCGAAGTGCCCGCGGGGGTGGGAGCGGCCTCGGCCCCGCGGAGACGGAGCGGCTGGAGGACGAGGCGGCGGCCGCGGGGAGGAGGATGGGGGCTAACCAGTTAGTGGTGCTCAACGTGTACGACATGGTGAGTGCGGCCCAGGCCGGCGTCCTCCGGCCGCGGGGCTCGGACCCCGGCCCCCGGCCCCTGCGCTTCCTGCCGCGCGTCCCCGCCTCCGGCTTAGTTCTCGGGGGTGGGGGAGGGGAGCAGGATTAGGTTTTAATCCCCGCGCACGTTGGCGCGCGGGGAAGTGCTGCCCGGTCCGCCCGAGGGCTCCGGCCGGGGCTCCGGGCGCCGGGCCCGACAGCTGGGCGGGCGAGAGGTGTCCTTTCGGCGAAGCTGGGGTCGCGGGTCCGACCTCCACTCCTGTCCCCGGGGACTCCAGGGCCGCCCCGTCCCAGAGCGCCTGTCCGCCCCGCTCTGCCGCTTCTCCCAGCCGCACGGCTCCCGGTGCCCGAGTCTCCAGAAACTCCCAAGCTCACGGCTGTCGGTGCTTAGGCTAGACTCTCTCCAAAGGCGCACAGGGGCCGACAGCCCCTTGCCTCCGAGGCAGCCTCATTCGGATGAATGAGGCTCTAGTTTACCGAGAAAAAGAGCCCAGCTGAGTTACGTAGATAGAGATCAAGGTGGTGCTCCTTTGCTAGATTCTGAAGACCACTCTGCAGGTGATGCAACAGGTATCCGACGTGACCGCAGGAGAGGGAAGGGGAGTTTATGAGGTCATCTAACTTCGGGGTGCCGTAGGCATCCGGGATCGAGTCCGAGGACTGGTTTGCCACCGAATTGCGCCTGAAGTACCCGGCAGAGAAGGATCGGGGCAGTTAGATGCACGCCTGGGTTTGTTGCTTTCGGTTGGCTAGTTTTCGTTTTGCGAAGGGTTCCCTCCGCCTGCGTGTGTAAAATTTCTTGTGAGTGTTTTGGCAGGTGAAAAAGCCCTCCTCGTTATTTCTGTGGGCTGAAAGATGCAGAAGGAGCTGGAATACGAGAGGTCAGGAGTCACGGTTCGCCCTCGCAGATGTAAACTTTGTGTTCCTTTGCTCTGTGTAAATTTCTACATTCACAGTGCAGCGTCCTGGGTAGAAAGGAATTCCGGCGCCCTATTCTGGGAGTTATGTCAGGATGGGGTACAGACCGCCTGGGACCTTGAGGTGACGTCTCCGTTGATTTGGTGACGGGGTTTGGGGGTGGAAGGAGATGGATGGACGTGCGTGAAACGTGGTAGGAAAAAATTAGAGAAGCATAGAACTGGAGGGCCTAGAAACGCAAGGCACTAGTTAATAAGGTCTTTGGCGTGTGTCACTGGTTAGGAGTGGTTCTCTGGATTTCAACTTTTTGTGGTCAGTGGGATACCTTTACTGTTCAAGACTTTTCTTTGCCCTTTTACTGTTTCATCGCCTGCCCCCCTCCCCCCACCGCGGTCATCTGCATTTGGTATCTTGTCTATTCTTGAAGACTTAACAAAACATCTCACGGCATATATTCTGCTTTTGAGAACACAACATGCCTCTTCTTATGGATCATTAAGCCCCTTTATAAGTTAGGGTTATGCAACAATGACCAGAGCGTCATAGACTAAGAGAAATCTGAAAGTCGAGGCAGGGAGAAGTTTTGCTGCTTTCATAAAACTGAAAATACATTATTTGGCCTATGGTGGGCTTCCTTGCACCTCAGGTGCTCTATGAATCACAAAAATCGTTGCTAATTGTGGTGAGTGTAGGAAAAGCTAGAGGTGATATTTAAACCGATACATTTTAAAGGGAGGAGTGTTCTGAAAGATGTTAAAAATATTGTTAGCAAAGATCTTATTCCTCACATCACTTTTATAAAGTGGGTAGTTACAGAGGAGGCAGGTAGAGAAAAGGGTAAATTAAACCTGCCCAGATAACCAAAAATAGGATCTAGAATTTCTAGACCACAGTCTGATTCGTGATCTCCTCTGCTGAATAATTCCTGTGTTTGTTTCTTAACGTATTGCTTTTTCCTCGCAATAGGAGGAGAAGCAGCATATGAATGTTTATCAGAATGGTAAATAGTTGAACTATTAGACTTCTGACAATCTTGCCCTTGTCGTGTTCTTTTGAGGGCTTTCAAGCTATGGCTGTTTGATGTCAGTCATTCAGCAACCTACAATATTTTATGACCTTGTAGAAGTCACAAAAATGAATGAATGATCTTTCCCTCTTTGAGGAATTTAGAATACCATGGGAGAGGTACAACAGTAGTAATAATTCAAAACAGAATAGTGTGATTTTGTGATTTTGGTAAGAGCAGAACAGGATGTAAAGCAGACCACGTGTGGTTGTGGGCTCAGGAATTGCTGGAAGGTGCAGGGACCTGTAAAGGCGGAGAGCAGTCAGCAGGAATCGTTGTGGCCAGAGGAGAGCGCACGTCGGCCTGGGAAATAATCAGCTGGCCCAGGAGAACTGGAGTGTAGGATGCATGAGAGAGACACATTGGAAAGTTTTATTAGAACTTTATTAGTTTGGGGCTGGAAGGAAGGGCTAGGGGTGGGGGGTAAGGCTCTGAACCAGGGGGGCCATCTTCGCGGTAGGGAACAGCGTGATCAGAGGTATGTTTTTGAATGAAGACCAGTGTGTTGAGGAACAAGTTTGTTTCCTTTATACTCCCTTTTCCCAAGTTGTATTGGTTTTGGAAACCTTTTTGCTTGATGTCAGGGGCAAATCCTTTTATCTTTGATAGTACTGCCTGTGCGTCATAGATGCCTTTGATGGGGACTGCTGTTGTCTGTACAGGCCCCGTCTAGCAGCATTCTGTCTCGTCCAGACTTCACAAACATCAAAATCAACCTTTGGTTTGCACTTCTAATCACTGTTTATAGGGACCCCTTGCCTGTATCCCTGTGTCTCCTTGTCTGTGAGGCTGTCACCAGCTCCAGCCCTGACTGTTTGGTTCCTATTCCCTAGATTGGGAATCGCTGATCATTTCTGTTTGTCCCTAACTGCCACATGTAAGAAGAAATTGTATCAGGGTCACCCGCATTAACTTCTTCCCACAGAGGGATAGTATAATCCTTAAGAGGTTATTTAATCCTACAAAGTGCTGCTAAATTATCGCTTGCTGCTTTCTCAGTGATTATGTTCCTCTTTGTACTTGGGGATAATCTACCACCAATAAAACCTGTCCTGGGTGATTTTCTGAGTCACTGAATGAGGTGATTCGCATATTCCCAGTTTGTTAGCATCCATAGTAGAGCAGGTGATTCAGACTAGTTTCAGCTGCTGGGACAGTCTCTGCTGGAGTCACAAGGTGTTCATTTGCCACGGATCCAGATTTTGTGCTTTTTCAGGTTATCTTGACTACTAATGAATTGTTAGAAAAAAAAAATATGCAGTAGCTTGATAATATTTGTAGATTCATTCTATAAACAGTTTTCTTCCTGTTTTCAAATAGCATCTGTACATCTCCAGAGCCTTAATAGGAAAAAAAAAATGCATTCTAAGACTCTTCAAGCAAGGAAGTTTGGTGCCGTACTTTAGACGATCCCACCTCCATCCTACCTCAAAGAGAACGTGAGGGCACGCACATGGGAGAGGACCTGAGTTCCCACACATCTTTAGATCTAACTCAGACTTATTTTTAATGTTTTATTTATTTTGGGGAGAGAGAGAGTGGAGGAAGGGTAGAGAGCGAGAGAGAGGATCTAAAGCGGGCTCTGTGCTGACAGTGGAGAGCCTGACACGGGGCTTGAACTCATGAACTGTGAGATCATGACTTGAGCTGAAATCAAGAGTCGGATGCTTAACCAAATGAGCCACCCAGGTGCCCCCATAATATCTTTATATCAACATGTCCAGAACAAACTTTTTCCTTTCCCTTCTCTCCATAGCTCAGATTTTCCCCTTTACTCCATTTAATACCCCCCCCCACCGCTCCCCTCACTAGCCTCCCCCCACCACTATTGTGTTGTAATTTTGTCCTGATGACCTTCTGTTTAGTTTCCCAAGCCAGAACCCTGGATGTAAAACTATTAATTCTTCTGTGTTACAAACCCTTCATAGTCCAGTCACCAGGCCCTGTCTCCTTTAGTTGGGTTGATTCTGTCTAAAAGTAATTGAGAGCTTAACAGTCAGTAGCTAATACTGGAAGGGTACTTGTTTTGAGTCCAGATATAAACAGTCCCGGGGTTGGTTCAGCAGCTCTGCTGGGACATCAGGGACCCAGACTCTCCATGCTTCTGCTCTGCTGTCTGTCGCCATCACGTTGGCTCTTGTTCTGGTTTGTCCCGTCATAGCTGTGAAATGGCCATCATAGCGGCAAACATAGTATCTTCAGTGGGACGTGAAGGAAGACAGGGGTAAGCAGGGCCTTCTGTGTGCACCTCTCTCCTTCTAATAGGCAGACGAGGCTTTGCCAAGGCTGCTCTCCTTTGCCGAGAAATGGTCCCAAGTTGGCTCCACCGTGACTGGGAGGAAGCTACCTGACTTTCCCGGCCTGAATGGCAGTGAGCTGCAAACCCTAGTCCCATTGTTCTTTAAGTCGGTTACCTTATCATTATTTCTGCTGTTGCTTCTCAAGTTCAGGTCCTTGTTATCTCTGTTCGTAGAACAGTCTTCTGGCTTCAGTCTCTGGCATTACTTCGTTTTAATCCATCTTCCCTTCTGTCACCAAAGTCATCTTTCTGAAACATAGATGATTGTGCCATTCCTGTGCCTAAAATTCACTTGCAGGGTTGGGTCTAATGCCCTTTATGATGTGACCCCTCCCTGACTAATAGGCCCACCTCGCACCAGTCCCACACTCTGTCCCACCCCAGCACAGACACTTCGTGCTCAGTACTGACATGTTTAGTTCTGCAAGCAGGCTCTGCTACAAGAGCTTATGCCTCAGTGTCTGTGCTTGTCTTACCTGGAATGTCCTGTTCTGGCATCGGCCGCCAGCCGCCTCCTGCCTGTAGCCTTGTCTTTATTCGGCAGACTTGCGCCAACTTTTGCGCCCTAGTTGTACTTTGTACGTAGCTTCCACTGTGTGTATCATAATTCTGTGTGTCCCATTAGACCAGGTTCCTCGATGGCAGTATCTAGAACTGGGCCTGTTGTGAGAAGGTGTTCTGTAAATATTTACCAAATGAATGGGACTTCAGGCAGTTTTATTAGGAATGGTGCCAGTACTTAAATGGCATCAAACAGTCTTCCAGTTTCCCTTCCCTTTGTGCCAAAAACCTTTCTGTATTTG